ACCAAGAAAGTGAAAAGACAACCCACATATTTGGAAAAAATCTTGACTAATAAGCACTCAGACAAAAGTCTGCTCTCTAGAATTTATAAAGAACTAAAAAAAATTGGGGCTCCCAAATTTAAAGACCCAATCCACAAATGGGCATCCAAATGAACAAACACTTCTCAGAAGACGAAATTATAGAAACAAATAAATATATGAAAAAATACTCCATATCACTACAGAAGATCTATTCAATGAAAATTACATTACTCTGAAAAAAGAGAACCTAGAGGATTTCAGATAATGAAAAGATATTCCCTGCTCCTTGACAGAAAGAACCAACATTGTGAAGATGGCCATCCATGAAATGCGAATTAAAACAACACTGAGATACAATCTCGCCCCACAAAGAAGGCCATCATAAAGAAATCAACCAACAACAAATGTGGGAGAGGTTCTGGGGGAAAAGTAACCCTTGTCCACTTCTAGTGAGACTGTAGACTGGTGCAACCGTTATGGAAATCAGTGTGGAGACTCCTTAAAAAACTAGAACTGGAAATCCCATTCAAACCAGCTATTCCTCATACTGGGAATTTTCCCAGAGGAACTGAAAACATTATATCATAGTGATATATGTGCACCTATGTTTACAGCAGCACAACTGATGGTAGTGAAATCTTGGAAACAACCAAGATGCCTGTCACCTGAGAAATGGATGAAAAAGATGTGATACTTTTATACAATGGAGTATTACTCAGCTATAAAGAATGATAAACTCAAAGCCTTTATATTTAAGTGGATGCCACTTGAAGATATACTCATAAGTGAAATAAACCAGATCCACATGTGCAAATATCGTATAGTCTCCCTAGTGTAAGAACGCAAAAGAAGAAATAAAAATAGAAAGGTATAACACAAATAAATGGCAAACGAAAACTTCAGGATTAAACAACAAAGAGAGGGCATGGAGAAACGCTAGGAAACATGACAGGGCATTCATTTATACGCACAGGATGGTTAAGACAATGATCCTGAGAATCTTCAGCAAGTTTTCAAAACTAGCAGTTAATTGGTAGGATTCTCACCCTGACTAACTATATATGCTGATACCTGTGAACTAAGCAACTGCACTGAAAATGGCAATGTGTAATACTAGGGTCATGCTTGTAATGCCTGTCATTCTGGTCTTCCAAAAACATATTGCTTGTTATGTTATATCAACTACTGCTATACTGTCTCTCAATTAAATGTTTTTTTAAAGTATTAAATGAAAACAAGAGACAAGAAAAAAAAATGTCATAGGACTGTCCTGCTACAATGCTATATATGGTTAGATTTCTAAATTTCTGTGTAAAAATATGTAAGTGTTTATTCCTATTCATTTTTTTCTTCACATTCTCTAGGGATTTAACATTTAACATATCAATACTTGATGAAAAATATGTGTTCCATGCTATGCTTAAGATGTTTGTTATTCAGACAGATAGTGAGGTTAAGCTCAACTGCTACATTACTGGGTAATGTCATTAAGCTTCTCTTTGGAGGGTTAACAACTTAAGCTTGTGACCAAAAATTAGAGAAAAAGGAGGACTGCAAGGACAGCCAACATTTTGGCCCTAGCCTTTCAAGGTCAGTGAGGACTCAGGACATAAGAGAACCTGTACTGTTACATCCTGTAACTCAGTGATGTCCCAAATTTTCTGATCAAGGAGATTTTAGCACAACAGAGGAAAGTGATCAACAATGTAGAGTGTGCCTAAGGAGAGTTATATGGAGAAAAAAACATTCTTTCAGGCTTTCACAGAGAGAAAATTGGTCAAACAATGGCTGTGACTCATCCACATGGCTGACATGAACAAAGGTTCTATAAACTATGGTACAGGGTTTCAGGGTACATCTTGAGGGGATTTGACTGACCTTGTCATATACAAAAGTTACATTTCTTGTTATATAGGTCTTACTTTATCTTGGTCGTAACCATCCAGCAGAAAAGTATAAAAACAAGGTATAAAAAGTAAAGCCATATTAAAATGCTGAGCTGTAAAAGGCTCAAGTCAACAACTTCTGACACTGTCAGTCTTATGGATATTCTACTACTATTATGGACTACTTTGACTATATTGAATTATTTTGCTGAATTCACACACCTACAGTACACCTACAGTATTTAAATGGCAATGGAATACCAATCTCTGACCAAACTAAACAAAAAAAGGGGATACAAATGAAGGACCGTTTTGTATCTGTATATACAAAATAGCTAGGATAGATATACAGCTTATACAGCTACTTTCTCTTAGTTGAATGAGAAGAAAGATTTGTACTAATAGTGTTTGGACAGGATATCATGTGTGCATCTTGTACTATGAAAAACCACTACAAAGACAACAGTATGCAATGTATCAATTATTGAAACTTTCCTACTAATCAGTTCTGAAACTATCTCACTGCTATTTGTTTTTCAATAAAATTAATAAAAAAAGAAATAAAAATGACACATATATTACTAGTCTAATGCAAGAAAAAATTAAATACATTTAAAGATACTGTGGAAATAAAAGCATACAAAAGGGCTAATGGGGCAGCCATGGTTACTGCATATGCTGATAGCACTGCTGACAGGGTTGAAAGAATTAAGAGTGATGTTATGTATCCTGGAATTTTAATGGGAACGTATGAGTCAGGATGTCACAGAAGGTCAATGAATTGTTATGAAGAACAGAAAACTGAGAAGAAATGAATGTTTGATGAAGAAAACTAGAAAACTTGGTGATAAATTACTGTCCTTAAGCCTTGCCATCACTACTGCAATGTAAACTGCTGGTTTTGCTAAAGCAGCAAAAATTACAAAGCTGTTAAAAGAAAAGATAGACATGTACACTATCAATTGTTTTCCTAGTATCAAATGCAAATTTTGACTTTATTTATTTATTTCCATAATTTTATTGAGAAACAAATAGCAATGAGACAGTTTCAAATCAAACTGGTAGGACAGTTTCAATAATTAACACATTGCATACATTCTTCCTAGTGGTTATTTGCTGTACAAGATGCAGACATGATACCCTATTTACAAGCACTATTAGAACAAATCCCTCTATTCATTAAGGGAATGTAACTATATATCTATCGTAACCATTTTGAACACACAGATACAAAATGGACATTCATCTGTATCCCCTTTTTTGTTTAGTTCCGTCATTTGAATATTATAGGTGTGCTAACTCAGCAAAATATTCTAAAAGACTCCAGTAGTCCATAATAGTATTGGGTCTTCCACTTGACTGGCAGTGTCAGAAGTTGTTGACCTGAGTCCCGTACAGCTCAACATCTCACCCTGGCTTTATTTCTTATACTTCGTTTTTACACTTTTCTGCTGGATGGTTAAGACCAAGATAAAGCAAGACCTATGCTTTAGCAAACAATATTTTGAGGTGTTAAAGGGTTTTTCTAACATCTGAATGTGTCCATTCTTTGAGCACTCAGCAGCAAAAAATACAGAATTTAACTACTGATCTTGTCATTAGTATGCAAAATAAATTTTATACCTACAACTGCACATATTTTAATTAGACTAGTATGTTCAGACACCAATTCAATAATATCCTATAGTGCTGCCCAATAACCATATCACAGAAAACTTTTTCATTTCTACCAAGAAAAGTAAAATGAATTCAAAAATGTTGCCATGATTAAATCACAAAAACAAAAACAAGCAACATTAGCGTAGTAAAACAGACTTTTTCAGTCACAGTTCAGGGCTTCCAGGGAAGAAAAATAGCTATGATTTAGTATTAGTAAAAGACTGTGTATGTCATGATGATGTAAACAAAACATTCATTGATCATCTTCTCTGGGATAAAAAAAAAACATTGCTCTAAAGATACTTTGTAATTAAGTGAATGAATTTCTTTTTATTGAACATCTACTATGGATATCAATAATATCTTAATTTTCCATATCCTATTGAACTGAGAACAATTTGCAAGAAATATCTGCTAAGAAACTGCTTCAAACTATATATAAATTAATGTTGTATTAGTTATATATAATGGATTCTGTAGCATTACATAGCAAATTCATATTATTAAAATCATGATTTTTAAATTTGTCTATACCATATAAGCTACTGAAAAAATACAAACACATATGCATACATATGTACATTTTAGGAATGACTGAATCTCTAGTCTGTTTCTTTTTTGTTTGAATTTTTAAATTTATTTATTTGGTACAGGGTTTCACTATGCAGCTCAGACTTGTAGTGATTTTCCTATCTCAGGCTCCTCAGCTCTGGGATCACAGGTGTGTGCCACCATGCTTGGTGTTGGTGGCAGGCTGGGCATGGGGCGGGCATGGTGCCGGCATGGCATGCGGTACTGGGGATCGATCCTGGGTTCTTGCCTTTGCAAGGCAGGTGCTTAGACCACCATGGCTCTCTATTCTGTTGCTGCACAGCATTTTACAGAACTGAAGAAAATTAATATATTACATTCACTAAGAGTGACATCTTGTTACTGACAGACACCTACCTCTGAAAGTAGAGAGAAAAAAAAAAAAAAAGACCACATGGAAAAAAGAAAGGACATACAGGCACATTATGGAGCTGTCTGGGTTGGGGAATGGCTTCATGTATATGAGACCTACATGAAATGCTTGATTAAATGATCTGCTGCTGCCATCTTGAAATTATTATTATTTGTTTCACAAGTGGGCCTGCATTTTTCTTTTCTGCAGAAAATTACATAGCAAGTTCTGCCTATATTTGAATTACAACTCTGCAGTTTCATATAAGCAAAGTTAGCCTAAGCCTTAAATTTTCATGTATAATGAAGTGGAAACACTCAGTTGATACAGCTGAAATACCATCTATGAAATAATGGGCATACAGCTGGATACATAGGACTAAAAAGAGATATGAAATAAAATGGAGATGCAATAGTTCTTATTACTTCTAGAGATCTGAGATATAGAAACAACCATAAATCATAGGTATAGCTAGAAATGAAACTGTGTACTTACAACCCGTATATCTGTGGTGCAATTTCCAGTCTGTTCAAGTGCATATAGAGCTCAATATCATGCTTCTTCAGTAGATGATCCTGGATCTGGTTGACTTTAGTAACAATAGCAATTGTTGGTCCTAAGTCCTGTGGTCTAGCAAAAGGGATAGGAGTCATCAGAGTATCTTTCCCCTATAAACAGGAAAAATGTATTATTCAATCTGAAATAAACAACTACTGTACACAGATATTGCTATCAAATGGAGTATAAAAACAACAGGAACTATTTTATTACAAATGCTTAAAGTGAGTGATCTTATACTGATATACAGATGGCCATATTTATACATGAATAGCCAGGAAATGCTTTCTAAAATATTTTCATTTGAACTACTTTGAATATTTTCTGTATTTTGGCTAGATGTGGTAGTGGATGACCAACACAAACTATCCATGGCTAACTTATCTGATCAGTCATGGTAGATAAATGGAAAACTTATTTGTTGTTGCATAAAATATAAACATGAAATGCAGCAAATGAAAACTATTTCACTTGGAGTTCTGAAAACTATATTTAAAAAAGCCAAGAAATTACTATAACAAAAATGTATTTTTAATCATCTTTCTCTTAATTTAAATAGCAGAGTAAAGTGATTTTTAAACTCTGTACACTAAAAATACGGAGGACTTACAATATAAAATCCATGTTTGATTCCACCTATGAAGTTCTTTTTGGCTATTCACTATCTATTAGTAAGAGGGGTAACTGATGCAATTGTTTCATATGAACTTCCAATTATCATGTTCTTCAAGTCTGACCATTTTCCCTATTACACCCCTCCTTTCTTCTGAGAGTCAGTCCTCAATTTCTACCTCTTAATCTTACCATCGATCTTTGAGATTTTCAGTTGATCATGAATTTGTAGAATACATACCTAGGACAAATTCTGTTTTTCAAAAGTTGGTCTTTCATATAGAATTGGTATTAATTTTATTCTACGTAATGTGTTCATTAGTGATTTCAATCATACACACTGTACTTGAGTAATAATATATATCTTACACTGTATTATATATATCAACATACTAGGATAGTATATAATAATTTTATAACTAACAATACTGCATGAATCATATAAACTTTATGTAAAAGAAGTTTCTACTCACAGGAAGTCTTTATACTGGCTTTGTATTCAGTCAGTAAGAATTATATTTTAGAATCCTAGCTTCCTTGTAATTACATTAATATTTTCATGATAATTAAAATAAAGTGATGAAATAATATTTTGTGTTGCTTACTGAAATCATTTGTTCACTCAAACACTCTATTACTGAGAAAAATCTGTACTTTAATATTTACCTTTTGACTATCATGTTCAAAAGTAGAAAACCAAGGCTCAGCAGTTTCCATAAGTTGTGAGAACATTGCACTAAAATGTAGGAAAACATATAATGTTTAAGCTTCATGACAGCATGATCATATAAAAAGAAAAATATAATAGTTTCTATACTCACTAGGCATCATGTTCCAGATATTCAGGGTTCAAGAGAGTTTTCATTTCCTCACTGTTAAAAAAGCAATACAACCAATTAAAATTGGTAACCCATGGATTCAGTTTCCGTTATTCTACTTTCATAAGATAACTCCCACATAATAAGTGAAAAATTAACTAAAAGCAGCCTCTCCTTTAACAAATGAAAATTTTTTTACAAAGATAAAAAATATATTAGTTGTCATGTCAGTATCACTATAAAGTAACTAATTATTCCAAATGGCAAACACAGAATGTGAAAGTATTTTCCTTGATAATGTTTGATCTAAAATAACTTATCACTCCATAATCTATCATTTGTCATACAAAAGAAATATATAATTGGTGGATTATGCAATATCAAAACATCAATTTTTTCCTAATAGCTTTTTATTTACTTTATCTTCAAGTAATAAGTGATAGAACCTTTTACAGATCTACTTCAGTATTGCTCGCCTTTTGGCCCTTCCTTCCTTTGTACCAGGGATTGAACTCAGGACCCTGTGCTTCAAAGGCAGGCACTTATTCTGTTTTCACTTTATAATGGATTGAAATATTTGAAAAAATATGTTTTACTCATTTTATTTTTTAAATTTTTGTATATTTATTTGTTACAGGTTCTTGCTATGCAGTTCAGACTCATAGTGATCCTCTTGTTTCAGCCTTCCCAGTGCTAGGATTACAAACATATACCACCATGCCCGGTTTTGGGGCCAGTACAGTGTGCCAGGGGTTCTGGGACTGACACCATATGCAGTACTGGGGATCAAACTCGGGTCTTTGCACTTGCCAGGCAGGTACTTAAACCACTGAGCTCTTTCCCCAGCTCTATCTATCTAGCAATCAATCTATCAATCAATCAATCAATCTATCTATCTATCTATCTATCTATCTATCTATCTATCTAGTTAGTTAGCTAGCTATCATCTTTTTGAGACAGGGTCTTACTGTGCAGTTTAGGCTACCTTGAGCTCACTTTGTAGCCCAGGCTTATCTCCAACTCACAAGGATCCTCCTGTCTCAGCCTCTCGAGTGCTGAGATTACAGGCCTGCACTACTAAGCCCAGCCTATCTTACTTGTTTTAAAACTGTTCAATCATCTATATTTTCCTGTCAAGTATATTCTGCATGTACTTGCCTTTAAAAATAAAGCTAGCACAAAATCATGATCAAACCTTACTTTTTAGAATAACTGAAGTGATGGCAATTTTGATGCAAGTACTCTTGTTAGGATCCAATAAAGTCAGTAAAATGAGAAAAACTTAAAACTTAGGCACAGGCCTGTATACATGTTTAGCAAAAAAGCAGTGTAATATTAAAAAGATTATATAGTTAAGACTTGTGAGATGCTATTTGTTAGTAGTTTGTTTTCTGCATCTAGCTGGATGAGCCTGTGGATAAAGAAATGGCTTAGAATCTTATAGTTCTCCACTCCTAAAAATGTTTCTTGGTTACTTCTCTGGAAAATTAAAGTTTCTAGTTACTTTGAAAATGAATTTCAACAATTATCTAAGTTAAATCCAATCATAAAAGTCGTTTTCAGGAAAGTATAAATGAATTTAGTAACATGAGAACCATTTAATTTATAGACTAAAGTTCTTTGTAACACTCTTCCTTTATTGATGAATTAAGCAGAATCAAAGCTGAGAAGGAGAAATTATCTCAAAGTTCTCAATTCTGTCTATAATGAACAGTGAGACATTAAAGGATAATATACAATATAAAGTATTATTAATAATTTTCACATTTGATATTATAGCAAACATATTCTCTTCTTGACCTATTGCATGTCTGTTTTTCTTGACACAGACCTAAGATTTTTAAATATATGATTTAAAAGTTGCCCTATAGCTAAACTGGCATTAGCATTACCAAATGGAGTTAACAGAGCCAATAAAACAAAAACAACTGTTTAGAACTTTTAAAACACCTTCAATTAAAAAACAAACAAACAAACAAACAAACAAACAAACACATATTATTGAAAAAAACCAGCACATTTAGGACTGAAAAAAAATAGACGGAACTCATCAACACTTGCCTGGGCTGTGCAGACTCACTGGCATGTAGAAAAGCTTGATGGTCACAGTGAAGTATGAAGACTATAGGTGCTAATAGCTCATGCATTCCCTGAAACACAATATCAAGAGAAATGAAAGGGAAAGATACTGAGAATCTGCTAATGGATAATGTAGGTTAACTTAAAATGCTTTTTTAAATTTTTATTTATTTTGGTGGAACCAGGGCTTGAATTCAGGCCCTTGTGCTTGCTAGTAAAGCACTTATTCTACTGAGTCATCTCCCTGGCCCGTTAAAAGGCTTTTTAAAATGGATTCCTGCCACCAAGATTTCACATTACACACAAAACTATAAAAATGAGATTTTTCTTTTAGAATTTGATTCCAATTCTACCACCGCACACATTCTTCTTTAAAATCTGGAGAGAAGCTCTTTTTTAAATGACATGACAAACAATAAATTGGCATGCCACACAACCTTGCACCTGTCAGTTGCTCAAGATCTGTACTCATAAATATGAATCTCATTTATGCAAATTATAATCATGAGCTACAGTGTGGGATCTGCACTGAAGAAGGGCAACGAAGAGCTGCAGACCTCAGGAAATTACATCCAATGTTTTCATTATGTAATGGCTCCAATTAGGGTGTCTGTAGATTTAGAAAGAGCTAAAGTCAGCCAGCTAGGAATGCTGGATAATAAAGAAATTATCAGACAGTGACAAAACCGAAGTTTTTAAATGGAATTTTCAACATGTTTAATCATAGAACTCATTTTTCCTGCCTCCTTCAATTATAGGTTAACTTTCAATATATTTAATAAGCATATCAATAAAATTCCTTATATTGGAGTTCAAATGTGGAATATACAATTACACACAGAAATAAAAAAGTATGTTAGTTACTAACCTATTTTTAAAAATTACTGCCAAAAATCTATTGTTTACTCATTTTGTAGGGACACAAGGACTTATACAACAGTGGACAACCTTGTAAATTTAGATTATTTTCCCTTTTAAACACCAACATTTTATCAAGTAAACATAGATTATATTTTCTGCTGCCTTTTCATGGGAGCAAATTACCACTTTACTTTTGCTTAGTAACTAAGGATGCTCTTTCATAAAAAGAGAAAAGAAAAAAAATAAAAAGAGAAAAGAAAATACTTTTGAGCAAATATAAAAATAAATATGGGAGCAAAAAGGAGAGAACTCTCTTGTGGGTAGAATTAGCAAAGGCTTCTTACAATAGGACAAACTTTGTAACACTTCATGTAATCTAGCTGCATTATGCTGGTCTGAGCAAGTCAGTTAATATCACAATGATAAAATTTCATCAAATTTCAGTTGTAAGTTTTGTCGAACTAGAATGACTTAATGGCATTTTTACAAAATAACTTAGGATCCAATGACAATTTGCTTGTAAACTGAAGAAAGTACCGTACAACATTTCAGTCTTTTTAGGTAACCCTTCTTCACATACCAAACCTTGAAAAGAATGGCTCTGACAAGATGAGAGATATCCAGAAAAGATGAAATCAAGTGTGATGTATTTTTAAAATTATTAAAAGTGGTTTATCTTCTTGGAAAAAAACCCTCAAGTTATCTTAAAAGGAAAACACCATAACTTCAACATCATGGTAATAGTTACATAATGTAGAAAAAGAGAGGAAGGCAAAAGTAAAAAAAGAATCCAGAAGGCAGGAAGGCAGGCAAAAACTAAATGAGAGAAAAACTTTAAATTCTAGGCTGAGGCAGGAAGTTAGTGAGTTTACAGCAATTCTGACAACTTAGCAATACCCTGTCTCAAAAACAAAATAAGCTTAAATGTAATTTGGTGGTAAAGTACTTGCCTAGCATATGTGAGCCTTAGGCTCAAATCTCTAGCATTAGGAAACAAAAAACAAAAAAAAGGACCACCAACAAAAAACACTTAACACACATCCTTCAGGAGTCTTTTTGGCTTCCTTAGCATGAAGCCTTTCACAGAATCTCTGGGGAAAGTCCGTCGGTTAGCCTCAGTCTCCCACTTCCCATACTCTTACCATCCTTGGCACTTTAGATGTGTACCATGAAGTTGCTCACTAGAAAGAATTCACTCAATTGTATAAAATCACTGTCTCACACATCGTGACCTATGTTCATAGTGTTTTTTTAAAAAAATCTTGTTAAATTCACAAACTGTAATGAATTATGTATTATTGAGATTGAACTCAAAAAATTTATTGGGAGTTTTTATTTCAGGAATTGCCCATTTCATCCTTGCAGTATTTCCTTTTCCCTAGTAATTTTCAACAGCTTTCTGAATTAGATACACTAACACTTTGTCATTTTTGTTATAAGAATTTTTGTCTATTATTGTCTTAATTCTGATAAATCCTTCTGAAGTTCTACACTTGAATAATCAGTGCAATTTCCCTCCTTTTTCTTCTTCCTTCTTTCCTTCTTTCTGCTATCTTAACTCAAAAAGATTTCTCTTACTGATATAATAATATAGGTAGGAATATAGTTTCTTTTTCAGGAAATTTTCCTTCACTTGACTTTAATTTTTGCCATGAAGAATATACACTGCCCCCCAAATAGCTAATTTATTGAACATCATCTATCTTCAATAAATGCAATCTATTCAATATGAATTGAACATCCCATTTTTCTTCAAAGAATTCTGAAAGTTATCTTTAATAGAAAGTGAGTATTTGGCCCCTAACTTCTAGGATTTTACTAGCATTCCACTGGTTTGTATATCTTTAAAAAAACTGTACTATTATAAATACTTGACCCTAGAAAACATTCGTATTCTTTCTTTCTATCTATCTATCTATCTATCTATCTATCTATCTATCTATCTATCTATCTATCCATCCATCCATCCATCCATCCATCCATCCATCCATCCATCTATCTATCTATCTATCTATCTGGGACAGACCCTACGGCTTTCACACTAACTTACACCCCAACCTTCTATTATTTTTGAGACAAGGTCTTGCTAAATTGCAGTTTGAACTTGCATTTCTCTTGCCTTGGCCTCCCAGAGTGCTGGTATTACAGCAAGAGCCAACATGCCCAGCAAGCTATGAACTGTGATTAAAAAATATTTAATTCTTTAAAATTTATTACAGTATGAAATACACTGCCAATAATCCCTTTCAAAATATTTCCCTTCATTTTGAACATACTTATCTACTATTATTGCCATTTGCTCAAGGTGTTCTGGAAGTCCTTTTTTGTGCCTTTAGTTGGGGCGTCATTGTTGCCTTGATGTTTTGAATCGATTGCAAATGTTTACTTTTTGTGGTTATTTTGAATTTGGGGAAGAGCCAAAAGTGACATGGTGCTCGATCTGGTAAATAAGGTAAATGAGGACACACCATAATGTGTTCACAAGCCTGCCTTTAATTTGAATGGCATGAGGCAGCAGCACTGAATGACTTTTCATCACTATTTATAACTTCCATACTCTGGTTTCTCTTCAGATTGTATAAATCTTTCGCCTTTTACTATTTATAACTTCCAGATTATTTCACAAAGTGCCAAGTATGATAAGTGTGTGTGAAGTAAGGGGTAATATTTTTCAGGGACTAAGGGCAACGTGCCTTTTACAATAATCATATTTGTAAAAAATATATACATTCATAGTATATTTTGGTCACCATTTGTAGATATTTTAAGAACATAAATTCTGGGTATGGCGACATACTACAGTCCCAGTACTTAGGAGGTTAGGAGGGAAAACTGGTTGTCAGTGTGAGGCCAGCCAGGGCTACACAGGTCTGCTTGAATTATATAGTCAGATATTGTCTCAAAAAACCCAAAACTCAAAGAACAAAGAACAATGGGTATTTGATAGTTCTTATTAATCAGTTTGTTAGCTCATAGGTTATTACTAGGTATTCTTTTTTTGCTGCTGGTGGCAATTTTTTGAGGTGGTCTTTCCCCCCTTTGTTTGATAGCTGCTTTAACAAAGAATAGTTCTTATTGAAGTGCATCTTTTTGTCTTCTTTAAGTGTCCTCTACACTTTCTAGATACTCCATCTATTCAAGTATCACTGAAAGTATTACTGGATACCAACATACACTGTGGACACAAAAATGAATGAGACAGGCTGGTTCCAAACTTTGATGGAGGTTGCAGTTTAGATAGGAAGATGTACAATGATAAAACGAGAACAGAAATCATTATACAATTATAAAGCATAAGTGATGTGTATATATAATATATATATACAGAGAAAGAGAGAGAGAGAGACAGACAAAGACAGACAGACAGACAGACAGGCAGGCAGACAGACAGACAGGCAGACAGACACAGGGGGTTGGGGGAGCACACCAACTCTCTATATTCATGGGTTCTGAATTGATCAATTTGATCATATTTGACTATATTCACAATATCAGAAGAAAAACTAAAAAGTGTATATTAAAACACTAAAAATATAGATTTTCTTTCTTGTCATTAGTCCTAAATAATACAGCTTTACAACTATGTACACGGCACTTGTATTGGGCACAGTAAGCAATATAAAGATTAAAGTACATAGGAAGATGTGCATAGGTTGTATACAAATAGTATGCAACTTTATGTCAAGGAGTTGAACAACCATATATTTTGATATACATGGGAATCCTAGAATGGTTCAAGGATACTGAGGGATAATTGTATACATAAACCAAAATTTTACAATTGGCCTACCACAAAAAAAGATTTCCTTATACTATTGACTGATTCAATGAAATAGCTACCATTTAATACATGGACACATTAAAAAGGTTGAAATATCATATAACAGAAGAATAACAGATCGTATTTTAAATCAATAGAGGACATTTTTGTAGAAAAAAATTAAGATCCCTCCAAGCACTGTTAAAAGAATCTTTGATAATTTCAGTTTTGAGTTTCACTTAAAAGAGAACTTTCTTGATACTTTTAAGGGACTGAAAGAGCCCAAAACTTGCTTTTGCTCAGAATTCTACACTAGTAAAATCTAATTAATAATTACAATGAACTTGGAATATGGTTGACTGATACAGTATTTGCCTAGCCTCTGTGGGAGCCTGACTTAGATACTCAGCACTGGAAAAACCAAAAATTACAAGTTGCAAGTATACAGATAGCTTTAAAAGAAGAGATATATCCAGAAAATATATTCATGACTTCAATACCCTATAAATTTGACAGAAGCAAAAATACATATTTTCAGTATACTTCTTGGTTCCCCAAATGTATATTTTGCTTCTGTCTATAGTGTAGCATTTCCACTTGGTGAAATCCTTCATCCCTGCTAGCTCGTTAGTAGTCACTGCACTCAAACTCATGCCAGTTGAAAATAAAGGTAACAAAGTTTTCCTCATCAACAGCCTGTAGGTTCACAAAATTGAACCTGTTCTTTTATCTGACTGTGCTCATTTAGCCCACCAAGCAGTCTTTATTAAAGCTGAGGCATCAGGCAGTCAAAGTTCATTAATACCATTTATATAATCTCTGCAGTTTCAATTAACTCAGCAAGACATTCTACTACATGATAACAGTCTCATTAATTCAATAAAATCCCATAACTATTAACAATATGGTCGATGTTAAACGGGGTGTCACCTAGTACAAAATAATAGCTTTAACAGCTTGTGATGAAACTCAAGGTTTTTCTCAAATTTAATATGGTTAAATATTCAGGCTTTCTACAACATGGTATTTATTATTTCTTTGTAAAGAATCTATACATTTTAAACATATAGGGAGTAATTAAATCTTTTTAAGTGAAATCAAGTAGTAAGCTAATAACACTTTCTCATTCGATAGGTTTTGTCTAAAGTACCAACAAGATCTTCCATATTACTGTGTAATCTCTCATATAAAAATATGGTGGTTCACATACATCAAAATGGCACACTGTGATGTTATTTTTTCCCTGCCCAAAAGAGCTTGTTTCTGTTATAAGACTTCCTTGATCTACTTTTTTTTTTTTCCTCTAAAGAAAAATAGGAAATAATTTCTAACTTGGGAAACAATCCTGATTAACTTCTTATCATCATAATTCTTTTCCTGTGGGGAATTTTAAAATACTTGAAGAAGGAACAGGGAGAGTAGGAGATAGACATAGACAAAAGAACATGAGCCAACACAATGATAAATATTCTGAGGTACTAAAATAACTAATGATGTGGAACCATTTACTCCCAGACAAAATTTTTCCCACCCAAACTTCTTTTTCATTTGTTTTTGTTCTTTTCATTTGTATATGTTTTTCATATAGTCTATATTGTATGCAAAGCCATTTTCTACCTTGACAGCATGCAAATATCTTTCTAAATCTTTTTTTACTTTTTTATATGCTTCTAGTTTTCACAGTGATATCTTTAGTCCATTTAAAATGTATTCTCCAATGCTGGTATATTTTAGATAATCAGTCTTAGTAAGTAAACTTCTTCTCTATTTCATATCATTAACATCTTATACATTAGGGGCTGGGGAGATGGCTCAGTGGAATAAGTGCTTCTCTGGCAAGTGCATGGGCCTGAGTTCAATCCCCGGCTCCGCAAATAAATAAATAAATAAATAAATAAATAAAATAAAGATCTTATACATAACTGGACCTGTTCCTAGATTTTTCAACTGATCACTTCTCATAATAACACTGCAATATTTTGATCTCAGAAATGTCTTCTACTTTTTACCCGATTGAGATCATGCCCAGGATATTGCACATGTCAAGGATGCATCCTGAAAAATTTGCAAAGAAAAAACAAACCAAAACAAACCCTCTCAGTCCTAGATCATAGACCTTATATAGAAGTTTTACACAAATTTTAGGGAGGATGTAGAGAAAAGGAATTTTTACATGCTATCAATGGGGTGTAAGTAGTAAAGCCATTATGAAAAACTATATGGTAAATCCTCCAAAAATTACAAATGGGTCTACCACACAATGCACCAATCCTAGTTCTGGTTATATATCCAAACAAAATAAACTCAGTATGTTGGTGAGGGGTATGCAATCCCATGTTCATTGTTACATATACACAATAACCAAGAAATGGAAACAGCGGGTCTACCAACAGATGAATGTATAAAAGAAAATGTGATAAATGTAGAAAGTGGAATACCTCTCAGTCATAAAAAGTAAGAGGGGACTGGGGATCATGGTGTTAAGTGAAATAAGCCACAGGGAGATTATAAATGTTTCAGTAGGAAGAAATACTTTTAATACCTGGTAGGCAGTAAATTTAAAGTAACACTGTCCAGTTTTTCTAAAACACGTGTTAGTAGCAGTAGACCAACACATTTCTACATTTATTTGAAGAGGAGCAATATTGGTATTAAAACCACGATATTTTTGTATTTATTCAATTTTTGCTTTATATCCTTTGACAACATTTAAAATGTTCTTCAGAAACCTTTCATGTTTATAGTCAAGTTTATCTGCAGAATTTTATACTTTGTCATTAGGAGTGGTATTGTTTTTACATTTCTAAGTTGAAAGAGCTATTGTCAATATGCAGTTAACCTAAATATATGTTACTAATATTTAAAAGATGCAATTATATTTACTAGTTATTTTATGTATATAATAACAAATATATTACTTTGTGTAATTGCAGCCTGACTTGGTTTACCATTTTTATACCTATAAAGCTCATTCCAAATTAAATCTATTACTTTTACCATAAGTATTTTCTGTTAAAATTTCAGTGCTCATCAATAAGATATAACTTCTGATTCTTTTACACTTATGAATTTGGTTTGTATTTAATATATAATCAGGAAATAAAAATGATTTATAGTATATATCTCTTTATGGAAACAGAATAAACTTTCATAGAACACCTAGATATATCCTTATATACTAAATAATTTACATTTAAAAAGCCCAAAGGAATCCAACAGCTGTTTTATTTTGCTTAGGTAATGAGGTAAATCAAATAACAAAAGCAAGAAGTAATTTTCAAAATATATGTTAACTTCTTTTAAAAAAAATTATTTGTGGCAGTAGGGATGGAATTCAGGAGTGTTCTACTTCTAAGATATAATCCCTAGCCTTCATTTTTTTTTTTTTTCAAAAAGTCTTGCTACAATGCCCAGGCTAGCTTTGAATTTAAGATTATCCTGCATTGATTGAGTTACATGACCAGAAAAAAAGAACAAAAAACAAACAAAAAAAACCTCTGAAGTTTTGTTACTAGTAAGTTTTAAAGAATACTTAATTATTTTTGCATACTGTTACATACTTATAAATGCTGTACTCAGAAATAATATTTAAATATGCAAGTTTGAAAAGTTTGTTACTAGGTAGGTTTTAAATATATTACCAAAACAATTTCTACAAGTTGAAAAGATTGAACATGATACAGAAGACAAGCTGGCAAAACATCTTATAATAAGGAAGAAGCATATGTGCTTCAGTAAGGTTATTTTCTAACCACACAGCTAAAAAGCAGCATTTGGATAGCTTTAGCATTGTGATACAACTCTGGATACAATAAAGGTTGCATTATTGCTTTATCATTTGTCTAGCTACTGTAGAGAAAAATTTAAGCCCATGTATATTACCTGTAAGATAGTTTCATTACCTGTTTATAAAGTAACTGCTCATTTTCTCGAGCATAACAGAAAAGAACATCTGTAAGAATTTTTCTCACATTTTCCTGTTGGAAAAACTGCATTTCAGGAAACCTAAAAAGAGAAAATACACAGTTGAAACTGACTAGAACAGTTTCAAGAATCACCCTCAAACATCTCTAGGATCTACCAAGGGCTGCTTTGGGTTTTACAATTCTCTATTTGCCATGTAACTAATACCAACAGTGAGTTTTTAAAAATGAGGGACATAAGGAAATGATTATATTCCAGAGCTAAATGACATCCTTCATGGCAATTTTTTTTTTACCCATACAAAAGTCTCTGCACATGTGAATACAGCAGTTTTAATAATGATTATAGTCTACCTATTTGGGGAGAGTTTTCCTTTTTATTTAAAAAATTAGAATCTGATTTTGTAAATATGCCAACTTTTTCAAGAAATCATTGCCATTTTTTTATGAAAATAGTTTTGACTTAGATTATACATGACCACAGTTAGTTTCTTTGGATTAAGCTACATACCTCAAATAGAAGAAAACTTAATAAGCATTGTTTAAATGTTCTCTAATAAAAAATTCTACCATTTTATAAGTGCTCTGAGGTACATAAGTAACAGAAAAAGGCCAGAGAATAAAGTTATAAGAATTTAAAGAATATAAAGCTATAAGAACTCATGAAGGGGCCAAGGAGATGGCTCAGTGGAATAAGTGCTTCCCTGGCAAGCTCAAGGATCTGAGTTCAATTCCCGGTTCCACCAAAAAAACAAAAAAACCCAAAAAAAAACAAAAACAAAAACAAAAAAAACCTCATGAAGTATAATGGTGCAATACACATAATGATATAATACACTAGGGCTACCTATAGAAGGCCTGTTGTTTAAGAGTAAACAGTTTTGCTAGGACGAAAACGATTTGAAAAAGAACTCTGGAAAGAGGAGAAATACAAAATGTAAGTGGGAAAGAGAAGTAAATCAGAAGGAAAGCTATGAAGGTACAAAAACTGAAGATTTCAACTGTGCAGCAATGAAGAGTGATTAATAATCAGAAGGAAAAGCGAATTCCATAAAGTATTGCCTGCTGGGCCTAAGTGTGGCAGAAGAAAAGACAGCAACTGTGTAAAGAGCTCTGAATGCTGAATTTACAACTAAAGAAAAAAATCAGTGTTTCTAAATTTTGAACAGGGAAGTGATAAACAAGAGTCTACAGTTATATGTAGAAATAAGTCTGAAAGTGGAAAGTTCATAGAAAAGACACACAATAAAAGGAAGATAAGTGAAAAATCGACAAATCTCAGGAGAAAAGCCTGTGTTCAAGATCATGTTGCATATAAACTGCTTCATCTATTAAATAGAGTTGACGGTACTGATTTTGAGATCAAATCACATGAAAACACCAAGAACAGTATCTGCAAAGTAGTAGACACTAAGGAATAGAAGTTACTATTAAGCACTGAATAACACAACATGAGGAAAAGGTAAATTGGGGCTCCAGAATTAAAAACAAAAGAGAAAATATGAGAAAAGGGAGAACACTACCAGTGCATAAAGCCAATGGTATTACTGAAACGGAAAAATATTCCTCAATGGAGTCCTTTAGAAAGGAATAAAGGAATAATGCCTGTTCTACTTCCTACTACTTCCTGGCTTCCTGCTTTCTGTTTCTGGAAATCTCAGGTGCTTTATGCTTTATTCTGGTCTTGCTGGCTTTCTATGAGAGTCTTAACTTTTCTATTCAAGGCTAGGTTTCTGAGTGAATCATGCTAATGACTGATGATGGGTATCATTTTCAAAAGTAATTTTTAAAACGAATCAAGCTCCATTTTATTTTCACTTGTTAATTTAACTTTTGTTTGAAATTCACTTTTATGCGCAACTGTCCCCAGATGCAGAATTTCTGACTTTTCAGCTCCAAAAGTGGAAGCCTCTTTGGAGACCCAGTAAACAATCTAAGGACTTGAGCAAGGGGACTCCACATCTTGGTATCAACTTTAATGCAATGATCATCCAGGCACTGCTTGCTCAGGCATGCAAGTTCATGGAGAGGTATACAAGTGACTCTGCAAAAGGCAAAATTAACTTGAAGGTGACTTAGGGTATACCTAATACATCACAGAAGTCAAAAAAGTTCCACAAAGACTTTAAATGGACTAAAACACGAAAGATATATACATAAATACATTAAATGACTTATTTAGAATAAAAGAAATTTGCCAAAGTCTCAGAGAGTCAATATGCCAAATCAAAACAATCAGGTTGATAAACAGTTATACATAAACTTGGGGAGGGGTAACTCAACCATTAAAATAACATATAGTAATATTTTTGAGAAATGAAATTTCTCCCCCTTCCTCATTATATAATGTACATGTATCCCTCTAAGTAAGGCTCACCTCTAAGATTTGGATCACCTGGCATACCAATTACATTTGAAAATTTTCTATATAAACTTACGAAAATATACAATTTAGCCTTTGGAATATGAATGAATCATAATAGAAAGTTTTGCAACTGATTTACTGGGGAACAAATGTCCATGAACTAAATGGAAAGAGTTTAACAACTAAATACTAAAAATGTAAAATATATTAAATACTGATTGATATTTTCATTTAAATGCATGCTAACCATTTGTAAAATTAAAAATAGAGATCTATACGAATTAAAGACAATTTAAGTTGCTCAATTTTAGCAAAAAATCAACTGAAAATGTATGTGAAGCAGATATAACAAATCCATGCAAGAACACAAATCTACAATTCTCTTCTGTAATGATGAAGAGTCAATTTATGAAATTTCATGATATTTATTGACTGATAGACTCTATTTAGTACAGGGTCTCACTACACAGATTGGGCTCCTAGTGATTCTCCTGTTTTCAGCCTCCTAGGCGCTAGGATTACAGGTGAGTGCCACCATGCCTCGTCTCAGTCACCAACTCAGTGTGCCCTGGAGGCAGGGCTGGCATGGCATTCTAGGAATTAAACCCTAGTATATTGTTTTAAAGAAAATATGACTTGTTTTAAATTCTGATGAAGACTCCATAGCATCAAATAAGTAAGGGAGGAAGATACTGACCAGTTCTAAATAACTATTTTATTTGAGTTGTTTGCTTGTTTATTTTGCGGTACTGGGTATCAAACTCAGGACCTTGCACTTGCTAGGTAGGTGCTTATGCCACTGAGCTATCTCCTTGGTTCAACAACTATTTTATTTGAAACAATACTAAAAATGACAGACTACTATACTGATCCAACATGGATTAGCAATTTTTGAGGTTTTAAAAAAATCAACAATATTCAAAAATTTCATGCCAAAAAAATAAAAAGATTTAAATATTAAAAAAATACAAAGGAAACAAATCAGAACAAAACTATAAGCTCATATTTTGTTCAAACCAAGATATTCAACAGAAAATAAAAGAAAAAAAAATCACACTAACTTTGGACTCAAAATGAATTTTGTCATAAATGAGTCAAGAAAAGTTATTTTTGTACTTGGCCAGAAAATGGAAATGGTACTGCGAAGTGACGATAGGACTCAGAACAGAGAGGACAGCAAAGGAAATATTCCATGATGACACTTAGAGCTGCTTCCCCCAAAAGTCTAAGACTTTTACTTGATGGAAAATTTTAGGTTATTTTAGATTTAACTCTCTTGATCAGTTGTTACTCAGATACGTGGTGTTAACTGAAGAAATACAGTGTACTACAGAATAGTATGAATTACCAAAAGCCCGTAGTACTTCTCTATGCTAATAACATACTTTTTGAAGAAGAAAAATCACATTTTCATTAGTTAATAATGTTAGAAATAAATGTGAGATGTCATGGTAAGTTTTCTAAAAATGGAGTGTCAAGTGGGTATATAATACCCACACTTATTTTTTAGGAGTATTTCTATTGATATATTAAATTTCATGAGTTTTTGGCAGAACATAGTTGTCATCTCTCTAGTCCTCCTGTTTTGTCACGAGGTTCTCATACAATGCGTACTTTAAATAAAATATCAATATAATAAAATACCAAATATGTACTGAGTGTGTAGAATAAACAAACATTTCATCATCAACTATTTGTTTATAAATCTAGAAAATAAAAACAAAAATAAATTCCTATGTGAATTGCAAGAAAAATATTAATACAACTGTATTGCAAAAATAATCTTTAATTATCACACATAAGGCAGTTTTCTCACATGCAAACAGCATGTTCCACACACAAGTATTGCTTACACTGTTAGCACATGTGGGTTTTCCTGTTTTCTTTGGTAGACACACTTGACATCTTGCTGGTCTTCCTATTTTGTTAGGAGGATTTTGTGATGTTTCACCTATCTTTTCAATGATCTGCTCCAAAATTCTTTTGCAGGGTCCTTTGGGCATATACTTACTGCTCTTCTTCTGTTGTAATTAATCATTTATTAATTCCAGGACTAATCCTCTAAGAAAATTTCTCTGTGATACTCTGTGCTTATTATCTTTGCGAATTACAAAACTATTGATGGCTGACATGTTTAAGGTTTGGAAGTTTCTACAGGGCTAAAAAATATTTCTTTCAAAATACATTTCAAGAAAAAGGACACTTGTACAGTAAAGGAATAATAAAGGCATATCATTGTATTAGTGGGTATTGAGAAACATTAACAAATCGCAATGGGCTGAGAGATATTTCTTAGGTTTCTAATACCTGTCTTAGTTATGCTTCTCTCATTGCTGGGACAAATACCCAACACTAAAATTAGAGAAGGAAATGCTTACTTAGCTCAGTTACTGTAGGTTTCAGTCCATACTCCAAGGCAGAATGGCACAGGGCAAAGAGCATTCATTCATGAGGGAAGCAAAGAGCAGAGCACAAAGGGAGTGGCAGCAGCTCAGGCAGCTAGCTAGCCTCTCAGCTCTCCTCACATTGTAATGCAGAGTATCTAACCTCAGGACAGTCATGTCCATACCAGCACTGGATCTAGAATCAATCACAAACTCTAGAAGCTACCCCCTTGAATGCATGAGGCTTTGGGGGACAACTAGACACAAACCGTGGCAATATCTTATATTAAAATTTTTAGAAAAATCACAGAAATTTGAATACTGACTAGATTA